ATCATAGGAGAAATTTGAGAAAAGGGGCAAGCTCTCTTTCATCCTGCATTGGAAGAAAAATACAACAATGACACAATATTGAAGCAGCCTGTTTGTACTTCTCTAGTTAAGAAGGGGTCAGTACTTGCTTTATAAGCCACTGTTTTCAGTTTGGAAAACAAGTACAAAAGTTTGCTCTAGAATAGAAGCTCACATAAAAGATCCAGGCCTAAGGCTTACAAATTTTCTCACTACTTTTACATTTAAATAAAAGAATCATTCAGGCCCTCAAAATTAAACGTAAATAAAGATGGATACGTGCCTGTGAGATGTATTCAGACTCTAGGCTAGGTCCATTCCGCTCCAGAAAACTTCCAATCCAGCAAACTTCATCATTCCTGAGCCTGTGTGGCAATCAGAATTACTTTTACTTGTGCTCTATATTATTTAAAAGACTGATACAAAAATCAGTTTACAGAGCTGAGGCATGGATCTGAGCTTTTTTCAAAGTTCATGGGTAACTGAAGCAGGACATCTTGGCTTCTCTCCTAAAAATGTAATAAAATAAAATTTGTGGATGACACCAAGCTGAGAGGGGTTGCAAGCATTTTTGAGAACAAAAAGACGTGGAGAAATTCAAGAGATGGTTTTAAAACAACATGATAATTCAATAATGATACATACAAAGTGCCTCACTTATGATGGCGAAATCAAATGCACCAATGCAAATACCATATTTACTCAAATGCAATATAAGGTTTTTCCTCCCAGTTAGCATGGAGGGGGAAAACCCCTCATCTCATATTTACATATAAGGAAACCTCTTTAAAAACATCGTCTATCATTAAACTGCTGCCCAAAGCAGCATGTGCTCAGTAATGGAAACTAACTATGATCTGATTAAATGCAGCCAGTACTTAGCATGACTATAAAACATATGGGCTATATTGGGTAAACATGCTGATGGGAACCTACCACAAAGACAGATTAGTGAAGCCTATCTGAATGAGATATATATGGCAGTGCCCATTGCATGCAGTTTGCTTACTGCTGACTCATTTTCAAGTCATGGTGAGCCACTACACTTCCTCTTCATTCCCATAGCTGAGCTGCACCTTTCTTTCCCATTTCCAGTGGTTCCCATTTCTTCATCAGCCTTAAATATCTTGCAAGCATCACAAAGTGAGGCACCAAACAGCTTACCCAAAATCCCTCTGTTGCTTCCTCTCTCGGCCTATTGCACATAATTAATGTGGCCTTGCTCTCCATGAGATGAAACTGGATCAGGTTGTCCTGTGCCTCATCTGCATATAAATTTTTGGAGGATCCCAAGACTCGTGATAAGAACATCCAGTTCTAGTCATGGGCAGGGGACTAATTAGCATAGGGATACTTTGTGGGCAGCATTTGGAGTACACACACATACTGAGCAGTGCTGAGCTGTAGAGTCACCATGGCTTGAAATGCTATTGACTCTGCTGGGGCCCAGCCCAATGAACTATACGCTAAAACATGAGCCTTTTGGCTTTAAACTAATAACATGCATCGTTTGTAGGGGTGCGCTGATAGAGATATTTTGGGCCAATACCAATGGCCACTTTGAAACAAGCCATAATGGCCAATACCAATCCAATTGCTGATATGCAGCAGGGCAGTTTACAGAGCAGTGTCCAGCTGGTAAGTCTGTTGTGGAGAAAGGAGCGGGGGGGGTAGGTCGAGGCCCCTATGGTGAGGGAGGGAGGGTGACTGGGGCTGGAGCTAGGGCAGATGCTGCACAGCCAAGGTGGGGTAAAGGACAGGCTCATCCAGAGGGCATGGAGGGTGGGCATCTTCCACTACTGCACTTATCACAAGAGGGCAGGGGGGAGGCATGGGGCCCCAGATCTGCACATGGGGTGAGGGCAGGCTGCTGCTTCAGGCTGCAGCTGGGGCTGTGCTGGGCTGTTCCCAGTGGAGGGCTGAGGTGGGATGTACTCAAGGTGGGCAGTGGTGGTGCTGGGAAAGCTATTGGGCGGGGGCTGCAACCACCCCAAAATTCACTGTAGATCTCCCAACCCCTGCTTCCAGGATGCTACTGCTGCCTATGCTAAACACTGCCCTGACCCAGTCCCCTGACAGAAAATGCCAAGTGCTTCCCTGACCCCATCCCACAGCAGCCTGCCCTTGCCCCGCACACAGATCTGGGGCACACCCCCCCCTTTGTTCCCCTGAAGTGTGTGCAGTGGTGGGAGTCACCCCCCACTCTCCACACCCACCAGACAAGCTGCTCACAGCTCTGTCTCACACTCTGCCCCAGTTGTGTAGCGACTGCCCCTGCCCCACTCCCTCCCTCACCATGGGGTCCTCAATCTGCACCCCCCCCACTGCTTCCATCCCAACAGACTTACCAGCCAGACCCAGCTGCTCCATGCTGCCAGGCTGCACTCATGTTGGCCAAAATAATATAGTTTTCCAGTGGGGGGGACCCTATAAACCAAACATATCTAGATTTTTATTTTTAATTTAATTTAATCTCTATCTTTCATCCCCCTTTTCCCTTGGGGAAAAAAAATTAAAAATTGGAGAAAATGGGGAAGGCCAGAGACTTCAAAGCATTCCAGGTTTCAAGAATCAAAACATGTAGACTTTTTCAAATGCCTGAAAAACTCTGCAATAGTGTAACAAAATGAAAGTATGTGCGCCATTGAGAAATGTTCATAAAATAATTGACACTTTCCAAACATACTCCATAGTCAAAGTCCAAAGAACTTCAGTGACTACAGAAAAACTGAGGTATGTGTATGCCTGGCATAATGGCTTTCCAGTGTGATGGATAAAAAATAAAATTGAATACAATGCATAGGTTATGAGAGAACAAATGACAGAAAGTACCTTGGGGAGGCAGATTCTCTTATGGAAATCTATCTTCAACAGGACTAAAGAAAGATCATTCACTCCATCCTTTCTAAGTGGCAGAGAAAGAAGAACATTGTGCTAATCTTACACCCGCTCCTTCTTTCAAAAGATTAAGTAGGCCACAGTTTCAATAAATTGTGATGTGAAATACTGAAAAGTCTTGACATTAAACACCTGAATAACAATTTTGAACTCTCTGAGATGCCAAGTACTCACAGCCCCTACTAGAGTCAATGGAAATCTTGTGCTTTCAGCCCCTCAGACAATAGGCCACTTTATTTAGATGCCTAAATGTAAATCTAGGTGCTTACATTCAGAAAGTACTTTACAAATTATGACTGAAGCACCAAAATAAGAGAAAGCAGTAAGCAGGTTTACTAACAAAGAGAATGCAATTATTGTAGCATGCAAGAATGTGTTTTTTAGCCGAGCATGAACTGCACTTTTAAATTCAAGCAATTAATTTCAAGTTTCAGAAATTGATCCAAAGTCTTTTGAAGTCAAATTTTAAAAAAAGCCTTCCATGGTTTCAGTCTTTTTTAAAAAACTAGGCCCTTAAGAATACTGAATTATCCTAGCTCATAACTCTGTATGCTCTACAAATCAATTTACAGAGGAAGAAGTTTAAGTGTGCCTGGTTTTTTAACTATAAAAAGAGGAAGTTTCTAAAGTATTAGCTAGCTGATAGTTTGAGTTGTGAATAGCATAAATAGCACTTAGAAGAGGGGTGTGCAAAATACGGCCCGTGGGCCAGATCCTAGGTGCCAAGCTATTCTATCTGGCCCACGGGGCTCCTAAAAATTTTACAAATTAATGTTTCTCTGCCCCTGGCTGCCTGTCAAAGATGACAGGAGCCAGCAGCATTAGGACCCAGCGGCAGCAGTAGCAAGGCCCACCAGCATCACCCCACCGCCAGCCCCTCTGTCCCTAGCCTTAGCAAAAGTTTCTGGCCTGGGAATCTGGAGCTGTTCCCTCCACCTAAGAGGGAAATTCAGGTAAGGAATGGGCAAAGGGCGGGGAAGATCGCCAGTGCAGCAAGAGCCAGCTGGGCCCAGCCAGCACCATGTAGTTCCCAGCTGGCAACCACATGGTACTTCCACTGTGTCGCATCGTCCCGGCCCTGCAGCAGGATCGTGTGGTGCCAGAGCTGTGGGTGGCGAGCAGCAGGCTGAGGGAGGAGCAGTCAGGGTGGATGGGGAGGGAAGGAAAGTGGCAGGGGAAAGGCAGTGGGGGCAGGCATGGGGGGGGAAGTGGCAGCAGGTGGGAGTGCAGGGCCACAGGGGGTCAAGGTCAGCAGCAGCAGGAGCCAGCTGGGAGCCATGGGGCTGAGCTGGCTCCTGCTGTATTCTGCAGTCCCAGCATTGCAGGCAGGAACAGCACACTGCTGGGAGGTGCCCAGCCCTGATGCACTGTGCCGCTTGGTTTCCCAGCTGCAATGCCAGGATCACAGAACACAGCAGGAGCCAGCCCGGTCCCCACAATTCCCAGCTTGCTTCTGATGCCACCTCTACGGTGGCATGCCTGCAGCTCCTCCACTCGCAGCAGTGAAAGCCCCATGCTGGAGCCCACTGCCAGCCACATCCCTTGCTGCACAGGTCTCTGGACTCCGCCCGGGGTGGACAGAGCCTGTCCCCCACTTCCCTGCGGAGTCCAGTGCAGGGCTTCCCCATGCAAGGGTGGGAGCTGCAGGCACACAACACTGAGACCCCATAATAGAGGCAGCTGGGCAGGTGTTGTGCAGGGCAGACCATAATTAGCACTATTTCAGGAACAATTGTTAAAAGTAGAACTGGTCAAAACTTTTACTCCAAAGCATTCTTTAAATCAAAACATCTGTGACAGCAAGAGGCTGCTCCCCTCATCCCCACGCACAGCGCTGCCCAGAGCTGCACCCCACCAAGCACCAGTGCCTGCAATGGGCACAAGCTCCCTGAGCCCCCCCTCCTTCCACCTGCTGTTGCTGGCAGCAGGGGCTGTGTACCATGTGGAGGGGTGGGGGGGGTCCCTGTACCCCACAAATCTCACATACCCATATCCTGCCCACACAACCCCCACCGACATGTACACACACCCAACATACCCTGTGCCCCCCACACACACACAATATAAGAGTGAGACTGCACCAGAGTTTATTCCTCCTGGGTACAGCGTTTACACCTATGCTTGGGACTACAACATGTTGAGACAGAGTGGTGCAGACCCAGCTGGCAGGGGGCCCCAGGGGTCAGGATGCCAGCCCAGAGCTGCTTCACTCTGGCTCAGTGTGCTGCGGATGGGCTGGCTGGGGCACAAGGGTGCTACAGTGTGGAGCTAGCTGACAGGCAACCCCAGCACTGTAGCACCTCTTATGCCCTAGCCAGCCCCAGTCACCATTTACATGTGCATTGCAGTGGAGTAAATAACTCTGCCGTAGGATAGTACATGTGTCAGGAAGTACTAACCTACGACAAAATTAATTAGTTTACTCTAGCCTAATAGCTCCACATGTGTAGATGGTGATGCTTTACTGCAGAGCTAATTAGGCAACTCCACAGTAACCATCTCATGTAGATGTCCCCAGTATTTGAAGTAAGGCAAAAACCAGATAGTGATAGAATGGAATGAAACAAATAAATACAAAATTATTCTTAGTCTCAAGAAGTCACATTCCTGACAGAGTGGTCTTGTCTGTGCAAGCAAAGCATCCCATCTCTGATAGCCGGCAGCAGTAACAGGTGCAGCTGAATCAAAACCAAGCACAGATTAATGGCAGGTGTTGTGCAGGGCAGACCATACTTAGCACCATTTCAGGAACAATTGTTAAAAGTAGAACTGGTCAAAGCTTTTACTCCAAAGCATTCTTTAAATCAAAACATCTTCTGTGAAAGCGAAGAGGGTTTTTTGAAAGAAGCTCTTCTTTTCTCACAATGATTCAGCTTTTGTGCAAACTAATTCCTGGGGGGAAGGGGGGTTTCCACTTCTCTTTGTCCTCTGGTGCTCTAAAATAGAAATGCCAATATTTCCAAGTGAAAGTAAAGCTGGGGTGTTTCTCCAGTGTTCCATATGGATAGGACATGGTAACAGAGAGACCTTGAGACTCAGATACAAGATTGCTTGATTCTGTTCCTGACAGTTCCACTGAACCACAGGCATGTTTGACACGACTGAGTGTCTCTGTGCCTATAAATTTGCCCTTTTGAAAACAGGGCTAATACATACCTGTCTCTCAAGCATATATGAGGTTCCAGTCATGTTTGTGAAGCCATCCAGAAGCAAAAAAGCATAATAGTGTCAGTGTGTTCCACAGAACTGTTGAATCCAGAAATGACACAATGGCCAACTGCCTAACCAAAAGATTTAACATGTCAATGTTGTTATGTTATGCATCAGCAAGGTGTAGATCACTCAAATCTAAAGAAGCGCCACACTGTCAGTTCAGCTATCAACTAAAACAACATAGCCATAAAATCCTAATGAGCCTCATGTACTTGTTACAAATAGTTTTATTAATTGACATGGTCAAATTAACAGGCAGCAATATTTTTTTTATGATAGTCTTAGTGAAAAACTTAATCCCAGCATTCAGTTAGTAGTAGTTTGTTATGGGCATTTAGTCATGTTAATATTTATTTTAAAATCATGAAGCTTTAATCCAGGTGATTCAATCAAGTGAAAAATGTAAGTCCTTTGCAGTTATACTTCTTTTTTACTGTATTCCCAAATGACACAGAACTAGCTTCAGCAGTGAAGATGGATAAAATCTCAGGGCAACTAGTGTGCACTCAACCACATGCCTGATCTCTGCATTAACCTAGTTGGAGAGAGAGAGGAAGGACTATTTTGCGTCATAGGAACCAGCATAAAGCCCTAATCATGCAGAAAAAAAAACCCATTGCTACCTGCATGGGTGAAGAATGATTGACTCACAACTTGCTGACAACAGAATTAACTGGTCAGGATGTTTGTATTTCCCACCTCAGAATAATAACCAATCTTCACAACATGTGCAAATGTCTACATCCCAACTGGCACTTCTGCATACTGAGGATGCAATGTAGACAAGCACAAGAGATATTTATCTTGATTATCTTATCAGTCAACCAATGACAGTTTATGCCCATCCTCTTGTCATTTTGCCTCTCCTGCCTCACTGATGCCAGGTTTTACTATCCATCTGTCCACTCCACACTTTCTTCTCTACTGCTGCTTCTGCCTTCATTAAACCTCTGTAGTAAAATGATCTGTTCTTACCCTCTGAACTCCTTTACCTTCAGCTGATCTCTCTGCTCCCCAGTAACCCTCCAAGACCTAGTTCTTCTATAATATCTATAAATCTACCTTTAATCTACAAGATGCTGGCTAGGTTGAGAGGAATAGACTATAGTATTTTATCTATGCAAGATTTCAAAAACCAATGTATAAAAAGTTGTTGCTATCTTTTATCCTTCTCCTCTTCGTTATCTGAAATGTATATTTTGCATTAGAAATGGTCTCTGCCCCAAGAATTTACAATATATAAATACAATATCTAGCACAGAAAGGCCCCAAATGTAGCTACGGTTCCTTGACATTTCTATAATATAAACATTTAATATATAAAATAAGCAGGTAGTATGTCATCTGTTCTTCAAAGTATTTATGGATAGCTTTCCAGATATTATTGGTATTTATTTTAAATCTTCTACTATTCAGAGGCCTCAGTTTAGAATCTGTTTGTTCCTAGGGCCCACATCATAGTAGTAAAAAGTTTTGGAATGGGGGGAAGGGGTAGACAGATCTTGCCCCAAAGAGCACCACATCTAGAACAGAATAATAGACAAGCTGGTGACAGATGCAGACAACTTGGAGGAATAGGCTCATACGGGACAGTGTGATAGTGCAGCAAATGTTACAGCATTGCAGCCATTCCAAAGTGTAGGTAATAAACATTGACGTTTTGGTGAATGAGGTCTGTTGCCCCTCAAGATATAAATGCTGATGTATACAATGTGCCTTTCACAAACAAAGCATTTTGCTGAATTACAACCTCTAGCTATATGGATTGATGCCCCTTGCCACAGCGGGGCACTGCCTCCACTGAAGTTGGTGAGATGCAGCAGCCACAGTGCACAGCCATTATATAATGGCAGCAGCCACAGTGCACAGTCTCTATGGGCCACAGTTAAAGAATATCTCATCCCATTAATGGAAAGGGAATGTAGCTAGCCATTTAGCCATTGATCTCAGGAGACCATGGGGATTGCACCCTTGGTAGGTTACTGGGTACCACTACAGCTTCTTGAGTGGCTGAGTCCTATGTGCAACAGGCAGACCCTCCAGCAAGATGCACTCGAGCTTGCACTGGCATGCCGAGTACCATTTTGTCTACCCTGCCTCTGACACCTCTTCTCTAGCTCATCATCGACCCTCTCCATCTCAAAGCGATGTAGGTCCTGCTTCACAGTGGCTTTCCACTTGCAGCAGTCTGAAACAACTGATTCCCAGCATTCCCATTTAGTGAGATACGCGGAAAAAAAAAGGTCTAGCTGTAGAAATGTGTGGAGAAATTGGCATATTAGGCAAACACTTTTAATAAATATGAATAAATAATAAAGTTGGTTGGGTTTGTTTCAGTAAAACTATTGGGAGCCCAGCACGTTTCAAAAGCAAATCATCACTTTAGGTATCTAGATGTTAACTGAATTTGGGCATCTTTTTAAAAGTTGTCCACTTTTAAAATTCCTGGTCTGAGGATTTTGGCTGGGATGGTTTGGTTTAGTCAGAGATGAGCCTGCCTTGAGCAGGGAACTGCATTAGATGACCTCATGAGGTCCCTTCCAGCCCTACTTTCCTACGATCCTATGTTAGAGCATTCTGAATTCTGTGAAGAAAACACTTCATAGTAACTACTCTGTAATACGTGAGCAAACAAGCTACTAGAGTGGGCAGCACAACATACATTTCTGCATAAATTATTATAACATGCTGTGCATGCTTCCTCTCTCATGTAATGTCATTTTCAAAGTCCCATTTTCAGACTCATAAGCTCATGAGTCACTTTTGAAAATTCTGGTAGTTTCATTTAGGCACCTTGAAAATTTTGAATATAGTTCAGCTGGAAACCTTAGTAGATGGATAAGACCTTTCTTGGGGATCCTTTGAATCATTTCTGTTTGTCTGAGCATGTATATACCCCCTTCCTGCCCCCACCATACAACATAGATATATAAAGGAAACACAGTTTTCATTTATTTCAGGAACTAGTGTCCTTACAGCTCAGAAATTTTACCTGAGAAGGAAAGTTTCACATGGTCAAGTCACTGTTTTAAGATAAAACAGTAAAGTAAAAATAGGATTTAAGATAATGAAGGTAAAACTTAGGAAAGACTTAATAAAAGTAGGGCCATGCATGCTTGCACATGAATGAATGGAACAAGGGCAGGTAATGCACTTATGCAGTTTAGCAGTGTCTAAAGTAACTTTGATATGATGCCATATAATTGTCTCTAAAATGCCATCTGATCCTTACTAAGTCAGGATGCATTTTTTGCTTCTATAGCCCTTCTTGAAGTGATAGTAATATGAGAGGGGCAAAAAGGGAAAAAGCGGTTTTCAATGTTTGTCATTATTATAGGTTATATATACAGAAAGAAAGTTAATTAAGCTTTAAAAAATCCATCACACATCAATGGCTGCATTTTAATGAGTACAAAAAGTTGAGGTGTTTACTGCCAATTAAAGTGGTTTTTAAATAAGCATTAATTAACACAGAAATTCAGAAGAAAGTTATACCTTGTCAAAGCAAGGCCAGTGCAGGCTGTGCCCACTTCTGCTCCCATTCATATTCAGATAGTAATTACCACCAACCCTATATTTTCCATAATAATGAGGAGAGGCTGTCATGTCTGTCAAACAAAAACAAAACAAAAAAAAAGTAGTGGGCTCAGAAATATTCTCAACCTGAAGTAAACTTTTAGAATTTTGCTGGCAAGAGCTCCCCCCGCTACACCATGGGAAACTGCATTTTTAGAGCAAGGAAGCAAGTGAGGCCATAAGGGAGTTGCATTAAAAACCTCAGGGTCAGCAAGTGAGGAGTGATTGGGGGCCAACCTGAATGTACATCACATTTGCTCCCACCCCCCGCCTCCACCTGGGCCATTTGAGCCCAGCATAACAGAGGCATCTCAGCTCTCTTCCAATATACACCTGGCTGTGACAGCCTGCTCCAG